TGGACCACTTGCCCCAGTAGGATAGATGCTGGCGGAGAGGCCCGAGGGGCCAAGAGACAAGGAACCAGGAAGCAGAAGATGAAGAGACAAGGAACACAGGAAGCCGAGCTGCCTCAGTCTCAAAAAGGGTATGGCTACGACCTCTGGGGTTTCAAAGGGTGGAGCCATGGCCTCCGGTGTTTCTAAGGGTGGAGCTGACACTCAGATGGACTAGGAGAATGGTGCCCAAAAACCGAGGGAGCAGAGTTGCTGTCCCAGTAGACCTGGAAGGCAGAGCTGAAGCTCAGGGCCAAGGGGTCTCCACTCAGAATCTGGAGAGTGTGGCCAATCCCTAGAGCCTGGAGGCCCTGGCCATTGTGTAAATTGTCTCAGAGAACAGAGGATTATTTTCAAAGCCTTGAGGCCTAATGTAACGTGTTCTGCTGACTTGCTTGGTGCCTGTTATCCCTTCTTTTCCCTCCAGTTTCTCCCATTTGTAATGGAAATGTCTAGCTTGTGCCTGTTCTGCCATTGTACCTTTGGAAGCAGATAACTTGTATTCTAGATTTCACAGATGAAGACGAATTTTTGGATTTTGGACTTGGAGTTGATTTAAGACTTTTTCTATGATATGATGGGGTGAATATGTTTTACATGAAGCAAGGACATGAATTTTGGGGGGCCAAAGGATGGAATGTCATGGATTGAATTTTGTCCCCCCAAAATATGTGTTTCAATCTGGCCAGGCTGTAATTCTCTGTATTGTGTGACTGTGCACCATTTTGTAATCTGATGTGATTTTCCTATGTGTTGTAAATCCTACCTCTGTCATGTTAATGAGGCGGGATTAGAGGCAGTTATGTTAATGAGGCAGGGCTTAATCTACAAGATTGGATTCTGTTTTAAGCCTATCTCTTTTGAGACAGAAGAGAGAGAAGTAAGCAGAGAGACAAGAGGGCCTCAGTATCACCAAGAAAGCAAACACCAGGAGCACAGTGCGTCCTTTGGACCTGGGGTTCCTGTGCAGAGAAGCTCCTACTCCAGGGGAAGATTGATGAGAAGGACCTTCCTCCAGAGCCAACAGAGAAAGATAGCATTCCTCTGGAGCTAATGCCCTGAATTTGGACTTCTAGCCAACTTGACTGTGAGAAAATAAAACTTCTCTTTGTTAAAGCCATCCACTTGAGGTACTCCTGTTATAGCAGCACTAGATAACTAAGACAATGAGACACAAAGGATTCCAGGTTGGAGTGACAAGTACAAAGACATAGGTAACCACAGTATATTGAAGATATCTAGGGAAAAGGATAAGAAGTGAATGGATGTGGTGGAGGACTTTAAATGGGGATAAAGACTACATCTGACAAGAAATGAGAAATCAGGGAATTCACGATCAGACTGCATACGTCGATGTATTTTAGGCTGAATAGAAGAGGGAGAGAGAAGGCTGTAAAACCATTTCGGATGCTACTGCAACACTCAAACATGACATGATGAAGGACTGGAACAGGAATAAATAAACCTGAAATATTTCAAAAAATGAATGAATTATTAGGGCAAAGGAAAAGATTAAAGAGGAGGAATTTGTTATTATTATACCAAAGCTTCAAGCTTACATGAGAAAGACAATTATCTCATTAAGAGAAATAAAATTGATGAAAAAGAGAAAGTTTATGCGATAGAATTCTATCCCTGGGTACCCTCTATTTCTGACTGTTATCGTACAATGTTCCCATACTCATCACCCTTTCCATTATCTTTAGTTTCTCTCCTTGGTGGCTTCTTCCCCTGTACCTTCTAGAAGACTTAGATCATTCCTTCTACCTTTGAACAAACGTTTACTACCTGTAATCTCAGTTTTAGCAATAATTCTATTTTTCACCTTTTCATTGTCATGTTTCATAAAGTAAGAATGATTTACACATACTGCCCCAATTCTCTTCCCTCTTACCTTCTGTAACTGCCTTACATTCGAATAAGCACTATGAAGAAGAACTAAAACATCATCCAATATATTAGTCTTTTCTCAGTTTTCATTCCATTTAGTCTCTCTAGAGCATTCTCTTCTCTTTTTCCAACCAAAGTCCCTTCATTCTCATTACTTCAAATATCACTGCTTCTATAAAGATTCTTCCACATTTTCAGCTGAATCAGAGCACCAGTTTAACACTAGCCATGAATCAGGGCTTAAAAACAAAAACCCAGGTCCTGCCTCTGCAGATTCTGGTGCAGCAGAAATGGAACGCAACCAGAGCGTCTGTCTTATAAAGTTCCACGGGTACAACAAAAGTTGAGAACAACTAAAACTTTAGGCAGGAATTTTCATCTTATCTTTGAATCCTCTGCTAACACCCTCATGAGTTTCTTTCTCTCTCTCTCCCTCTCACACACATCCACTTGCCTTAATAATTTTAGGAGTCTGATCACTTAAAGAATTAAGAGATTTTCAGGGAAAGGTCACATCATAGAGAGAGAGTATGCGATCATTTGAAAAGGTCAAAACAACATACCAATCTTCCCGTCTCTTCCACCTATAAAAGGAACAACATTCTGAAACTTTGGTTTCAGGATCTTTTTATACTCTCAAAAATTATTGAGGACCCCAGAGGTTTTGTTTCTGTGAGTTATGTTTATTGATACTTACCATACTAGAATTGAAAACTAAGAAATCTGAAAACAATTCATTTTAAAACAATAATAAACCCATTTAAAAACAACAATAAACCCATCACATGTAATGTAAACAACATATTTTTAATGAAAGAAAAATTATTTCCCAAAACAAACAAAAAATGTAATAGGAAGAATGGCACTGTTCTACATTTTTTTCCAAATCTCTTTAATGTCTGGCTTAATAAAAGACAGCTAGATTCTCATATCTGCTTTTGCATTCAATCTGTTGTAATTATTGCACGTAATGTAGCATCTGGAAAAGTCCACTGTACACTCATAAAAGAATTAGACTGAAAACACAATGTCTTATTATTATTATGAAATAGTTTAACTTAAGTCTTAGGGATTCCTAGGGGTTCCCAGATAATATTTTGGGAACTGTTGCTATATAGTATTCCACCACTGAAGGACATTTAGGTTGTTTCTACAAGTATTTACTGAGTGCCTAAATTATATTGTGGGCACACAGTGAGGAAGACTTCATCAACTTATTTGTTCAGCCATCAAAAAAATCTGAGGTATATGCCAATGGCTCTGTCCTACTTGTTCTTTTAACTTAAATTAACATCCTTATTGACATTACAGTGTGGAAATCTGTACTTTTCCTAGCCAATCAGAGTTTAAAACAATCCCCTATCTCTCTGTACATTCAATAGCAGCAGCTGTTCTATTTTAGCCCATCATATGTAAGTGGAGTACAAGTGCAAGCTCAATCTTACGAGATCCTAAGCTATCCCTAGATATCATTTATCTCAAGGCTTAGATCATAACCCCTATAAAAGGAAAGGCTTTCTGATCCTTCATGGCCCAGATCATATTTCACCATATCCATTAAATCACCTCTGATCATCTTAGCACAAAATTCTTATTTAAAGTCCTATAGTACTATCTGAATTTCCCTTATGACATTTCTCACATCTTGTTTTTCTTGTAGTTATTTGCATGTCTATTATCTCTGCTACTAGAAGTTAATTCCTTGAAGTAAAAGACCTCATTTTTCCATAACCCCAGAACTTGGTCAGTTCAGAGCGTTTATCAGGTATTTAACATAAGGTTAGCATAAATGAATATATTTCTGGTTTATATGAACTGAAGAGTTATTTTAAAACAAATCAGATAAAATATGGTATGCTGAGTGACACTAACAAGAAATCTTGAAATTTACATCACTAGAATTAAACATTCATTTGTTACAGCTAAATATCTGGCACAAAATTTGCTTACTTAGATTTAAGTGTTCAAGAAATTAGGGAAGAATAAATTTTTTTTGTAGGGTTTAATCTTAGTTATAGACATACTGTGAAGATACGTTGGCATGTTAATTGTTAAGCATAGAATTGATAATGTTCAACCCACTGGAAATTATTTTTTATGTTTTTCAACATATAAGATCAACTTAGGAGCTAGTTTGTCAAACATCTTTTCATACATGTGAAAAGGATCTAAATAAGCCAAGGTTTATTCCAGGATACTGATATAACTGCTAAAAATGTTAATGAGTCATATATAATAGTATTCAGTTACTATCTTAAGTCCATTTTGGAACAAGGTGAGTATAAATAAATAAGCTTTCACAGTACCAAAAATAATAGCCTAACTGTATATGTAGAGTTGAAGATAGTCAGATCACATCTAAAGCAATCAATTCTGAGTGTCATCTTTGGAGGATCCAATAAATCTGGATAATAAGAGTCTGGAAGTCATTTTCTATGTGGAATGTAATAATAAAATTTAAAAAATTTTCACATAGAAAAGGGAGTTGCTTCCTATAACTTTGTAGAATAGGTCCAAAAATTCACTGCCATCGAGTCAATTCTGACTCATAGCAACCCTACAGGACAGAGCAGAACTGCCCCATAGGGTTTCCAAGGCTGTAAATCTTTAAGAAGTAACAGGTAAGCATGCTTTAATTCAAATAAAGAGAATTTTCTAGTAATACAGCTACCTCCAACAACAGAATATGTTGTCTTGTGAAGTGGTATGCTCTTTGACTGAATGTATTTAAGCTGGAGTTAGGTAGTCATCTATCAGACACACTGTTAAAGGGATATCTCACTGGGAAGGGGATAGGACCCTCAAGATACGTAAGATTGTTTGCAATTCCATACCCTCAGTATAATTTAGACTATTTATAAACTGAAGCTACTTTGAAATAATGTTTACAAGAAACAGTGCTATCACCTACTTAAGGTAATAAATTTTTACCAGGTTTTAAGATCTAAGCAAAAAAGAAGAAATCATAAATCACAAAAAATATACTTCTTCCATGCTTTAAGTATGTGTTAAAGACAGCATACAATAAACCCATAAATAACAGCTTTTTATTAAAGTTTACTTTTAAAACTTACCAGAATTCTGTTGGATTCCCCACCGCACTCTCATCCTGAATTGCCGGGCACCACTTTGCTGGAGCCTTCTGTTTAGTCTTGGAAAATTCTGCTTCTTTCCTTCTTTTCGATTCAATTTGATGATATCATCTATGTGATAGAAGATGCCACAATTATTTTCATTTTAGCTTAACGACTCAATTATTCAGTCTCATTTTCTAACTGATATGATTTCCTATGTCCCTAACTTCCTTCCGACTTTGGAACCACTTCCAGAAGCTAATAATGATAAGAAGAAAAGGTCAGATCAGCCACTGAAGCTCTGGAGGAAGGTTTTATAGGAAAAGTTCAAATCAATAGCCCAAAGCAAATCTACCGATTAATCAAGAGTTCTATTATCCATAGTATTTCTTTCCCTCATTAGTGTAAATAAGCAAAAACCTGTTTATAAAATTATTCATACTTTCAATAATCACAGATCTTTTTTTTTAAAGATGATTACCTTTCAAAAAAACCATAGGCAGTCAAATAATAAATAAATCCTTCAGTTAAAAGACTAAATGTCTTAATTTAATTCAACAAATATTTATTGACCACACACTATATACAATGAATCTATGTGCCAGGCTGTGCTGTAACTGGAAGAAACAAAAAAATATGGTCTCCATTCTCAATAAGTTTAAGATTATTGATGGAAATAGACATGTAAATAGCAAAAACAAAACAAAACCGTATGAGCGCCATAATAAAGGTACCATACAAAAAAATACTACTGGGTTTCCGCTCCTCTAGCAAAATAATTCAAGGTTACTTTATTTTTCTTTCTACACTGAACTCTTTTTAAGTCTCATCATTTCCAAAAGCACTTTCAAACTGCTGCCAAGGTAATTCACAAACATCACACTGCTCTAATAACAGAGACCAATGTGAAAATGAGGAAACTAAACGTGCTCCAGATTCCTGTTTTTTTCTGTCAAAGGAGGTTACTAGAAGCCAAAAATACTCATTTAAGAAACACTCAAACACTTCCTGCAGAGTCTCCAACTCCAACATTAATTTTGATGATTGATAATGCAAACAAACCAAAGAAGTCACATATGGTCAACAACTTAATAAAACTTCACAAAACTAATTAACCTCAGTATTTTTCTAAACTGTTCTAAGAACAAATAATCTAACAAGCACCTAGGTCAATATAATCAGTCTTTTCTGATCAGAGAAGAAAATAAAGATTTCAAACAAAGAATCTTTCTGATACATTACTACTGTACCTTTCCCATCTGTACTCTTGAAGACTATTAATCACGTTCAAATATTCGTATAGAATATTTCAAATATACTCAAAGTACTTTGTTATCTTCTTGAGATTAATGCTCCAACAATGAAGAATTCATCAAAGTTAGACACTCCAAAACAGTTTTTTTTTTTTTTTTTTTAAATAAAAAGGATTCACGAATAGCAGATATAAGCAAAAACCAAACCATTGCCATAGAGTTGATTTCAACTCAGCGACCCTATAGGACAGAGCAGAACTGCCCCACAGGGTTTCCAAGGCTGTATTCTTTACAGAAGCAGATTGCCACACCTTTTTCCCGCAGAGTGACTGGTGGGTTCAAACCACCAATCTTTTGGTTAACAGCTGAGCACTTAACCACTGTGACACTGGGGCTCTTTTATCAGATATAAGGACATGTTAATTTCTCAACAAGCAGAAAGGGAATAGTAAGAAAGACAATGCTTATGAAAAACTACTTTTCTTTAACAAGGTACTACTTACTCGTCACCAGAAGTCTGAAATCTCAGAGCCATGATAGAGTACGTACAGACACACAAATGTGCACGCACACACATGCGCGCGCACACACACACGAAGCAGTGTACAATTTAGACTAACCAGATAAATTTTAAAATAGAGCATATATCTAAACATAATTAAAAATAGTAAAGCATATCAAATATAAAATTGTTTTACATTTAAACATTTTATTACTTAAATCCTCAACCAAGTTACATGAGCTATTATAACAGAGAGTATTTGTCCAATCTAAATGGAGAAAATGGCTTTCTCCTCCCAAACAGTGGACAGGGCAAATATCAGACAAAAAAATGGTATGAGAAGGAAAAAAAAAATCCATCACAATAAGCTACTTTATAAAAAACTTTCTTCCATAGCACTAGGGGTAAACATGGTAAAAATAATAGTAGTAATAGTAACTGAGTACTAACATACATAATACTTTAGCATGTATTAATTTAATCCTCACAACAATCCTATGACATAAATTGTTATCGTAATACTCATTTTACAAATTAAGAAACTGATCCACAAGGAGACCAGCTATTGGTAACCTCTGTAGGTATTCCATATGAATATTTACATAATCCTAGTAGAGCCAGGATTAAAACAAAACCAGAAAACCATGTTCTAAAATCTCTGCAGATGTGATAAATGAAATATTCACAAAGTATAATAACTGTCAAAAGCGACACCATCTCGTTATCTCATCTCTGTAAAATTTTCATTAAAAGGAAAGCACCTGACAGAATGCTGTATGTTCTTGTGGGAGAGAAAGAGACTAAGCTCTATTTTAGCTCTTCACAGCACTTCATTTCTACCTTATCTGCCTTCAAAGAGAACTGTCCCCTTAGTTTTCTTCACTTGAACACCCTAACCACCAAACAAAACACAAAAACAAACAAACAAAAAAATGTATTGGTTATGAAACCTCTATAGTTTAGGGCTCTAGAGCCAGATAAAAATCTTGCCTCCACCACTTACTCCTTGTGTGACTTTGGGCAAGTTACTTAATTTCTCTATGCCTCAGGTTTCTGTAAAATCGGAATAACAACAATGGCTTATACAACATACATACATATTATTTAGTGCTTATTGTGTACCAGGTACCATTCTAAGCAGTTTACATATGCCTATTAACTCATTTAATACGTAACAGCAATTCCGTGAAGTACATAAGCACTATTACCATCAGGTTTTAAGACGAGGCACACAGAAGTTAATTTGCCCATGATCACATGGCTAGTAAGTAACAGAGGCAGGATTTGACTGAAGTAGTGTGGCTCCCTGGTGGCCAGTGGTTAAGAGCTCGGCTACTAACCAAAAGGTCAGCAGTTCCAATCTACCTGCCCTCCTTGGAAACCCTACGGGGCAGTACTACTCTATCCTATAGGGTCACTTTGAGTTGGAATCGACTCAACAGCAACGGGTTTAGTGTGGCTCCAGATTCCATGCTCTTTATCACTAGAGAGGTCCCTGGGTGGCACAAATGGTTTGCAGTTGGAATAGACTCACTGGCAACTAATAACACTACCAACTGAAAGGTTGGCAGTTTGAACCCACCCAGCAGCACTGGGGAACAAAGGTCTGGCAATCTACTTCCATAAAGATTACAGCCAAAAAAACCCTATGGAGCACAGTTCTATTCTAACACACATGGGGTTGCCATGAGTCAGAATCCACTTGATGGCAACAGGTTTGGCTGTGGTTTATCACTGGGAGTACATACCTCATAGGGTTATTATGAGGTTAAACACATATGAAATACTTAGTTCAGTGCCTGGCAGTAATAAGCACTCAGTACTCTTCACCGAAGGAGCCTTGGTGGCTCAGTGGTTAAGCATTTGCTGCTAATCAAAAGGTTAGCGGTTCGAACCTACCAGTTGCTCCTCAGGAGAAAGATGTTGCAGTTGACTTCCCTAAAGATTTACAGCCTTGGAAACCCTATGGGGCAGTTCTGCTCTGTCCTATGGGGTCACTATGAGTAGGAACTGACTTGATGGGC